TGGAAGGTGCTATGGCATGGAAATGAATGTGGAAAAAACAAAAGTAATGAAAATTTCGAGACAACCAACCCCAGTCACAATAAAGATAGACCAAAGACAACTGGAGAATGTGAAATGTTTTAAATATTTGAGTAGCTTGTTAACAGATGATGGAAGGTGTACGTGTGAAATTAAATCCAGGTTTGCCATGGCAAAAGCTGCATTTAGCAAGAAGAATCTTTTTACCAGCAAATTGGACTTAAATTTGAGGAAGAAACTAGTGAAATGCTACGTTTGGAGCATTGCTTTTTATAGGGCTGAAACTTGGACACTTAGGACAGTAGATCAGAAACACCTGGAAAGCTTCGAAATGTGGTGTCGGTGAAGGATGGAGAAGATCAGTTGGCCCGATTATGTGAGAACTGAAGAAGTGTTATTTAGAGTCAGTGAGCAGAGGAATATTCTACACGAAATAAGAAAACGAAAGGCTAATTGGATTGGTCATATCTTGCGTGGTAACTGCCTTCTAAAAGAAGTTATTGAAGGAAAGATAGAGGGGCGGATAGAAGTGACCAGAAGACGAGGAAGAAGATACTGGATGACCTTGGGGACAGAAGAGGATATTTTTATTTGAAGGAGAAAGCTCTAGATCGAATCAAGTGGAGGAACTGCTTTGGAAGAGACTGTGGACCTGTCATCTTGACAGATTACAGATGAATGAATGAAATGAAATATAATTTACAGTCTTTCGCTCCGGTTTGTTAAGGTTTTCACTTGGTGATAACACCATATGTTCAGCTTTCCACTTAATTTTATCTACAGAGTGCAGGAAGAAAGGTCAGTATTCTGGGAGGTCATAGTATCGGTTCTGAGCAAAAATTGTTCTGAATGGATTACAAGGTAGAACTAGTTCACTGTGCTATAGTTTGGATGTATGTCAAGATGCCCTCAGACAAGCAGCATTCTATGTCCTCATGCAAGTTGGAAAGTGCATTGATGTTGACAGTATTTTCAAAAATGTATTATACTAGGTAAACTGTACCAACTTGGTTACTTGAACAATACATACCAGTGTTGAAACAGTACATAATATCTCTTTATTATCAACAATTTTAGAAGTGTACAGTGAAATGGAAACCATTCGGAATAGGACATGTGCATATACACCTTTTTTTTTTTTTGCTTAAAATGACCAATACTGTGATCTCCCAGAATATTGACCCTTCCTCCTGGGACATCTTGTATGACCTCTGTAGCAGGAACAGTGTCGTTAAATAGCGTATGAATGAATCAGTAGTTAACATTAATTTCCTTTCAGGAGGAAAATGATATGCTGAACACCTTGATATGATTTCAGCTACACGGATATGGTACAGATCAACTGAGTACCTGCGAGGGCAGGGGGTACAACAAGAAAGAAATTACAGAGAAAATATAACTTTTGAAGTGGTTCATTTGTTCCTGTTTTGCATAGAGCAATGGAGCCTAGAAACTGCTGTTCATGATTTATTTATTGAAAGTCATAGCATTTTATATGTTGTTACTGAACAGTAAAAGTGATAATCATATTTTTGCCCCTGACTGACCTTTGTTTAATTAACTTGATAAAATTTCTGTAACAAAAAGTACCAAGATACACACTTGGATGTAGCACTCTGTAGTTTGGTAGTTAGGAAAGGAGTCTAGTTAGTAATGCAGAGTGTTATCTCCAGGTCAACTCAAAATAAGATTACTTATTTAAAATTTGTCTTTTCCCATTTTAAACTTTAAAGTGCTGAATAGCAGTTGGCCAGTTTCTCTATTGTATTCCATTTACACATGTATTTGGTACAGGGGCAGAACTGTGTATTCATTTAATGGCAAAGCACAGGAATGAGAGAAAAAGCATATGCATCCAAATATTAAAAACATACGTGAAAATATTCTGATGCACTTTATAACAAGGTGACTGTTGAAGTGTTTTGAACACATTTTGAGTTCCTCATCGACAAAAAAGCCTTAGTTCCTACAGGTGGTAGCCTCAGGAATGGAGAATGGCATTTGGAGCTGGCATATCACCGCATATCTGCCATACTACAAGGGACACACACATTGAGTTTTAAGTGCATTGTCATATTTGTTTCTGTTGTGTATCAGAATTAAGAAAATATAATTTGGAACACCAACAAATTGTATGGATGTCTGGGGTTAACAATTGCTGAAGGTGTGAATTGGGGGTGACCTGGCTCAGAAGAAGGTTCAGAGGAGCTCCTCTTTCAGCACAGTAGTGAACTGTAAGGTACCAGTACAGTAACAGACACTGAGGTATTTGATTATCCTGATAACTAGGCATTGTATCCTGTAGTTAGCAATGAAGTTATAGTATGTATGATTAGTTCAATAATCTCAAGGCCAAAGTGATCACAACATTTTTTGAACGTCGTTCATGACAAAGTGAAAGATACTATTGGACAGTAACTTTCAAAACAACAGGTTACGGCTTTGCAATTCCTTCAGATATGTATACCAGAGAGTTGATGTACAACTGTAATAAAAATGTTCAGTGAGAAGGCAAAGTTGTCCCTGTGCTTAACTAAGCAAGCACTACTCCATGAAGGTGTATGGGGGAGCAGACATATAGGTCCACGTTTTCTTGACCTTGGCACTAGTTTGAGGTGAGTGGTCATCTTCACGGCCCTGCCGCTTTACCCCTAGGGAAAGAGCCCCCAGTAGCCATTGGATAGGAGGCTGGGTGGGCCCCAGAGTCAGTCTGGACTACGTGGAGAAGAGAAATTTCTTGACCCTGTTGGGACTCAAACTCCGACGCCTTGGTTGTCCAGCGCATAGCCAGTCACTATACCAACTGCACTATCCTGGTGCTATTTGATTTTCATTGTTGGGTAAATATTGATTAAATCAGGACATAATACCATTCACCATTCTCTGAAATAAAATTACATCATGACTCGCTAGATGATACCTGAACCTCATATATTTCATCACTCAACAGTAAGTCTTGAGCTATTTAGCAAGAACGGGTTATCAAAGTATGTAAGGTTTTTCTAGATTTAATGATAACATATTGGCAGATGATGGCGTGTTAGGAAATGGTTGTGGCATAACTTACAATTACTAGCATAGCATGTACTCGGACACACTGAGGAAAACCATGAAGAACACGGAATACCAAAACTCCTGGACGAATTCCGAACCACAGAACTTTCAAATATGAAAAGACTGCAAACGACAACATCGCAACGTTCAATAAGGCCAATCGATCAAAAATTAAATACCCCCCCCCCCAGAGGAAAGGTTAATATTTCATTTAACTAAAGTTTCACAAATAACATGAGTGCGCTATGGCGCAAGGGTATCTAAAGTAAGTACGGCTTAATACAAATTAGATATTGTAGCATGAAGAACCGTTATTGGGTAAAGACCTCGAAACAACGAAAAGACATCCGCTGCTAGGCAACAGATTCTCAATAAGCAAGTATACGCAGCCGTTATTGAGTAACGCTTTCGAAAGCACACATGCTCCCACGGAAACGACTGGAGTACAATGATGAACTGTGTTTTCTGCGCGGCCCGTGCCGAGATGTTATAAAGAGGACAATTGGAGCAAGATTTCAGAGAGAGTTGTAAGGGAGTCTGTGAAGAAACGACTTAGTCGGTGCAGTTAAGAGCCAGTGGTCAACGAAGTGAGCGCGGAAGCTGAAGAATCTCCACTGTTATAAGCCGTTACCAGAGAACATGTGAAGAGACTGCAGGCTAGAAAAGATTAGCGTGTGCTGTAGTGGTCTGTAAAATGTGGAGATCAACGATGACATTATAATTGCATGTAGTTACGAGTCATGTGTATAAGTGGTCAGTATATCCAATCTCCAAACCAAACCCCGTCTATAGTCACACTCCCTCCCGTGAAAATATCACACATTTATATTTGAACTAAAAATTTTAATTTCATTTTATAATTGTAAAATATAATTTCTCCAGTCAATGTAAATTAATGTCCTAAAAACAATCGATCTTTTAAAATGCTGGTAGGTATAGGCTATAGATCTGATATTTTAAACTGGAATTTAGGCTGCAGTACCTTCTCATTCCTGTCCTCTTACCATAATTCGTAATCTCACACACAAAAGAGACGATTGAATTGTAGAAACGAGCAAGTCTGATGTCAGATCATTGAATGACAGTTATTTTTAGCATAATAATTTACATCCAGTTGTTTATAGACTTTCTTGGTAGAAAAGGACAGAAAATGAGTTCTAACACCAGACGTGCAAGAGGCTGGTGATAGTTCATGAAAGTGAAGGTCTAGATTAAAGGCAAACTACATTATTTCGATTTAATAGCAGACTCTCTTATGAAGTTCACTTAAATAAAAGACAGTGGAACACGGTCTCTTTTATTCTTTTGTAACAATTAGGCGATGAAACTGTTGCGTTCACGACGTAGTATATTGTAATAGTGAAAAACATACTGTTGCAGTGACCCTG